AGTGTGTCCAAAATTACGGTCTGATGCATTCTGGAAAGTGCTAGTGTAAGTATGCCCTTTAAAAAGTCGAATGAGGATGATCCGCGGTGTTATTCGTGGTAAGGAGGAACCCGTAATTTGAGCAAGCTTGGTAGCTAGAGAGTATTTACGAATGGGTTGAAAAAGGGAAGGGGGAAAAAAGCAAGGGAAGGGGAAAAAAAAAGGTATGGGCATGTTTTGAAGCAAGTAAGGAAATTGTGACAGCGCATAATATGCAGTTTTTTTTTTTTTTTTTTTTGGAAGTCGCAGCTTATATTATAAAAGTAATTGAATGAGGTCGGGCATCCCTCAACATCTCAACCCGGTAGTGAAGCTTGTGCCGGAAACCGGGTCCAGCGTCCCATGGTCTACAAGTCCAAAGAAAGTGAGCAACTAGTGTAAAACTTTTAGGAAACCGAAATAAAGGAAGCAAAACAGCCAAGAACGACTGAAGAAACTCAGAAGAATTCCTATTCCGGGTCTCCTGCTACTCTGTCTGGGAGCCTTACCCAGTTTCGCTTCAAGATCTTACAGAAAAGAGACCGAGTACGGATCTGTAAACTCAAGGAAGCCTGAACCGCCTAGACGGGTTTCCCACCACACACCCTTGGATCTTCAGTGACAATATCAATCAACGGACCAAGATGACTATGGATACAGTTCAAGTTTGCTTCCTACCGTATTTATGCGAACTACAAGCAAGGAGCGTTCCCACCACCAATGGGCCGTGCCTGGTGGACATCATGTGGACCTGCGCGGTCTTCCAACTTCGGAAAACACACGGGGATGCCCCCCCTTCCCCCTGCGTTTGCCACAAATTTCCGGCGGATATGCATAATGTGGGCACTTTCCAGCCAGAATTGGACGTGGAAAGTCCTTCGTCACTTTTCCACGCGACTCTTTTCCGCCAGTGGGGTCTGGGATCCGGGGAAAAAAACGACTTCCAGCCATTCTTCCACTCCCGCAGGGTGTTTTTTCCGAGTTTTTCCCCTGTGGGGTCCACCTCTAATAAAGAGACAGCCTTTCCGATACTTTGGGGGGTGGGGGGGGGGGACCTTTTTCTATACTATTGGCACAACCTCTCTCTGTCAATCATAGGCAGTTGCTTGGCGGGGACTAAAGTGAAAACCTCTCTGTG